AAAAGGTTTCCCACCCCTCTAAAGTGCTAGAGAATCCTCTAGGATTTTGCTCCTGCTCTCTCTCTTGTATTTTCAATCTTTCAACTTCAAGTGTGCCCTATCTTAACACTCACAAGAGTCAACCTGATCTTACAACCAACTCTCATTGTTTCTTTCTCTTATACACTCAAAGTCTTCAATAAAATGGCTCTACCTTGCCGAAACCGGTTTAGCTCAATGGATAGAGCGCTGGGTTGGGGACTGAAGGGCCAGGGTTCGATTCCGGTCAAGGGCATGTACCTTGGTTGCAGGCATATCCCCAGTAGGGGGTGTGCAAGAGGCAGCTGATCGATGACTCTCTATCATCGATGTTTCTAGCTCTCTATCTCTCTCCCTTCTTCTCTGTACAAAATTAATAAAATATATATTTTTAAAAAAATGGCTCTACCTTTAACTTCCCAGTATCTCTCGTTTTAAAACCACAAATCTTGAGACTGATCCACTGAGCTGAAAACAGGTATGAACTTCCAACTGTCCATTCCACTGACAAATCCCTATTCACCATTCCAATTTCAGTTTAAATATCACCTTCCAGGTAAAGCCTTGCTACATCTCCCCCCAAGTGCTCATCACTTATTAAAAATTTCTGACACTGACATTTAAGACAAAGTTAAAAGTTAAAAGTTTTCTAGACAAGCAACAAAAAGTAAGATTATTTAGAATGTCTGTGGAGAAGGTGGTCACAATTACAAACTTCCAGTTATAAGAAAAGTAAGTCTCAGGAATGTCAAGAACAGCATAAAGAATATAGTTAACAATACTATATTATATAGCAGGAAGTTGACAAGAATGAATTTTTAAAAATATATTTTAATTGATTTCAGAGAGGAAGGGAGAGGGAGAGAGATATTAACATCAATGATGAGAATCAGAGAATCACTAATCAGCTGCCTCTTGCATGCCCCTCACTATAAGATTGAGCCTGAAATCAGGAAATGTGCCCTTGACTGGGATTAATCCTGGGACCCTTCAGTCCACAGGCCGGCACTCTATCCACTGAACAAAACTGGCTAGGGCGAGTATAAATTTTTAAAAGTTCTCATAGTATCTTTGCTGTTGCTGTGGTTCAGCTGGTTGGAGCATCATTCTGTACACCAAAAGGTGGCAGATTTGATTCCTGGTGAGGGCACACACATATCCAGGTTGTGCGTTCAATACCAGGTTGGGATGCATGAGGAGGCAACAGGTTGATATTTCTCTCTCACATCTGTTTCTCTCTCTCTAAAACTTCGTTTCTAAAATCAATAAAATAAATAAAATTTCTCATGGCAAGAAAAAAATTTTGTATTTTGTGGCAATAAATGTTAACTAAATTGACTGTGGTAATCATTTTGCAATATATACATATATCAAATCATCATGTTGTTCACCAGGGACTAATACAATGTTATATGCCAATTATATCTCAATTTAAAAAATATATTCAGATGATATAATAATGTATAACCAGGCTGGTCTTGTTTATTTTCTTATTATAGCACTTATCCTCAAAAGAATGACGAGTGAAGGGGACCAGTAAAATGCAATAAGGAGTATTGGGTTTGTTACCATCTTAAAAGAATGGTTGGTCAGATAAAAAAGTTGTGACCTAACCTTTCCTTTCCCTTTTATGCTCCCCTCTCCCCGTAAGCATTCATCGCTTAAACTCTAAGGGACACCACGAGCCCTAACCGGTTTGGCTCAGTGGATAGAGCATCCGCCAGACAGAAGGTTCCCAGTTGGATTCCAGTCAAGGGCATGCACCTTGGTTGCAGGCACATCCCCAGCAGGGAGTGTGCAGGAGGCAGCTGATCGATGTTTCTAACTCTCTATCCCTCTCCCTTCCTCTTTGTAAAAATTCAATAAGATATATATTTAAAAAAAAAAAAAACAACAACAACAACAACACTTTAAGGAACCCCACAAGACTTGCAACCAGGGGAGCAATGGGCAGTGGCAGCCTGTCCTGGGCTAAACCCCTAAACCCCTTCCCAAGGACCCTTTGTCAATGACTCTACAGTGAGCTGACTGCAGGCTCACGTTGGCTCACTTCTTTTCAATAACGTTTTTAAGGAGCCAAAGCAGTCCCATCTCATCTCTCTCCTGTTGTTTCTATCCTAGGCCGTTCCTTTTTCCACTGTCCAACTTTAATAAACATACTCTCTAAATTAAAAACAAAAGATAAACCACACACACCTCTTCTATGAAAGGGGATTCTGAAAAGGAAAATGAACATGTTACTTTCACATCTGTCCTCATTTATCTCATTACTGAGAGTAGGGAAGGCTAATGACTATTTTATAGGCTAGAGAAAGTGAAACAGGAAAAGTAGTGATTCCTTCATTCTAAGATGTATATTTTTCACACTATGACTTAAAAAAAATCAAGATGGGTTTCACGCTATTAATTTATTATCATCTTTTGTGGGGAGGGCCACATTAAGTGTATCTCACAACTATGGGTGTACTTTGAATTAAGGAAGTATGGTAAACCAAAGTCAACAGTAAGAAAGCGACAGAATAGGGCTAAAAAAATTCTGCTGCAAAGTTATTAACGTATAATGATAGCTACAACAGTGGCCTGTTTGGCTATTCTTGCATTAATTTAATTAAATGTATAGGGTCTACCTTCTATTAGATTCTTCCTGAAATACAAAACCATACAAAACACCTTTTCTGCCCTCAAGAAGTACATAATCAAATATGCACGTCTACACAAGTAGCTCTAAAACTGCTAGGATTAATATCAGAAACATGAATCACTTCTCAGTCTTCAGGCTAAAATTTATGCATGAATCTGATAAGAGAGATATCTACACTTGAGGACAATGTACCGAATGGACTTTTGGAGCAGGAAGATGGGACAGGAGCTTCCACTCCAAACACCCACCCAGTGCTGTACCCCCCTGAGGGGGGAGGGTGTAACAGAAAGATGACACAAATTGAGATAAGGAGCAATCACTTTCAGCCAGCTACCAGGAAAAGCCTGACACATCTTAATACATGTTGACTCTGAAAGCATTATGGAAGACCCAGGTTAGGCTTTGAAAGACTAATCGAATTTCCCCAGAGAAGGCACTTCAAGCAGAGGGATCTACAGGGACCAGGAAAAAAGCCACTGGGCGCCTGGAACAATGACCAGTAAACGGGGCTAAAATACGGAGTTCCTTCCAGGACAAACAAAATGTGGGCAGAGGAACAGCCTCCTAACAGTCATGTTTCAGTGAGATTAATTGGGCAGTAAACTATACAGGCTGAACTGGTGTGGGGACAAGTACTGCAATATAGCATCCGGTGTCAAATATTCACTCAGTGCTTGAACTAGGGAACAGCAGCAACGGCAAGAACTGCCTGAGGATTGTGTTTAAATGAGAGCCAACTCCAAGAGAACAGCACCATCAGGTTAACATTTGTGGCCCTGCTACTCCTGACACCATGCCTTACCCCATAGTACATGCTCAATAAATGAGCTGACAGAGGGCAACTTGCAAATGTCCACAATCACTTTTCTCTCTACTTTTCAAAACCATGCATATTACACCTAAGGTGAAGTCCCCCTCCAGCCTTGGATTTACAGCCTAAATCAAAATTTGTCCGTGGGTTTTAGAATACCACTTCATTTTCCTTCAAAATATGCCACAGCGTTTTTAACAGTATATAAACTTGCTTCTGAACATTTGCAAACCACTAGGATTTTCTGTAGAAAATCATCCAGTTTCCACACAGACACACACCATAAAAACCTAGCTGAAAAATCTTACTTATGGCAGAAAGTTTTCCTTTTAGGTAGCAATCAACATCCTCCTAGTGTTACTTACTGAATCTGCTTCATCACTAGTGCAACCACAGCTGCATCTTACATTTCCAAAGTTGTGTAAAGCGTCCAAAATTGTGCAAGAGTCATCAGTGAAATCAGACTCTGGTATATTAATAGTTATAACACCTGAACAAGCCTCGGCTGTATTATTAGATTCCACATAATACCAAAAAAAATCACAGGTTTTGAGGAATTATTTTGCGTGTTTGTTTACTTACCGGTGAGATACACTCGGATGTTATTTAAAGTGAGAATACCTGAATTTCTTTCTGCTTCATACAGACTCGAAAATCAGTAGTTGTGACCCAGATTTGATACATCCGGGGGGGAAAAAAAAAATCCATGTCCCTAACGCACAGACAGACACGCACACACCCAGAGTCTTGAATTATTATCCAATAACCCCCGTTTACACGTGGCAAAAGTCGACAGAACTATTTCGTGCTTTTAACGACCCCGACAGGGATTCCTCAGCCGTCAAGTAATGGGATCGGAGTTATTCTGACTTAAGTGAAGGTGTTAGAAAAAGTAAACCATATATTTATATATATATATTTTAAAAATATTTGTAGGCCTTGAAAAAAAAACACCATTTTTTTTTTTTTTAAATGTCTCCTCTCCTCCTCAGCTGGCTGTCCCACACCAGGGAGCGCTATGCCCAGGCCAAGGCGGATGCATGTAGGTCAGCAAACCCCAGACCCTCCCGTCCCATCCATCACCTTTTCTGCTCTCCTCTGTCTCCCCTGTTCTTTCTCGGGGCGGGGGGAGGCCAAGAGGCCCCAAAAGTGAGCAGCTCTGGCGAGGACACTGCAACCATCTGAGCCGGGCCCTGGAGGCCCTGGGCTGCGGCCCCGCCTGTCAGACACTTCCCAGGCCGAGCACCGCACACGGCTGCCGCGGGCCCAGCTGCATGCCCCGCCCGGCTGCATGCCCCGGCCCCGCTGCAGCCGCTCCGGGCGGGGGCCGCGCACCGGGCCCGAGGCCGCGGCGCTCGCAGTGCCCACGTCACCAGCGCTCGCACTGCGGAAATGGGAGCGCCGCGGCCCGGAGGGAGGCGCCCGGCGGCGGCGGCGCCCGCGCCCGTGCCCGACGCCGTCAGCCCCTCTGCCCCGGCCCGCAGGCCGCAGACACCCGCCGGGGAGGCCCCGGAGGCCCGGGACCCTCACCTGTGTCGCCGATGATGATGTACTTGAAGAGATACGCGTACGCCATGGCCGCGGCCGCTCCGTGCCAGGGCACACGGCTCCTCCTCCGGCTTCTGCTCCTCCTCCTCCTCCTCCTCCTCCTCCTTTTCCTCCTCCTCCTCCTCCGCGCCCCTCAACCTGCCGCCGCCGCAGGGCCTCCAAACGCCAGGTCCGCCCGTCGCAACTTCCGCCCGTCGCCGTCAGCAGCCGAGAGTATGGAGATGAGGAGGAGCCGGACAAACCGACAGCCGAGGAGGCGAGACAGACAGCGCCCGGCAGAGCCCAGCCGAACAATAACAGCTGCCGTGGCGTCCCCGCCCCTCCGCCGCGCCGACCCGGAAGGGCTTCGGCTGCCAGCGTCGCCGGAGTAAAGGGGAGGAGCCCGCACGGCGGCTGCGCCTGTCAGCCCGAACCCCGCCCACACAGGGCCTCGTCCCGCCCACACTGGGCCTAGCCCCGCCCACACGAGGCCTAGCCCCGCCCAGCGCCCAGCGAACTGCGCCCCGTCCCGTCCGACCCGGGCAAGGCCAGTGGATCCGGTGCCCTGGAGCGGGCGGGCGGTCCCTGCGGCCCGGAGCAGCCGCGGGAGGTGAAGTGAGGGTTCGGTTCTGTAGCGTTCGGAGCAAGGCCTCGCTCTGGGGTCCTGAAAAGGTGTTTGAAAATGCAGGCTTCTGTGTACGCTGGGCTGGAGTGCGATGACCTTTCTGAACTTGGAGACCAGGGCTTGACAGTGAAAATGATCTATTTGTATTGAGACCGCAAAGGAGGGAATGTGAAGTATATGATGGTATGCCCCTACGTTGTAATACTACACGGTCCTCCCTTAACTAAAAAATATAAAAAGCCTTATTTATGATAAGGAAAAACAAAGCACAAGACTCAGTGTATAAATGTATATAGTATAGTCATAGATGATTTTACATATATATATTTACTTATGTAATAAATAACACATAAATTACATTTTATTGTTGCATTAATATAAATGCATATTTGTAGGAAGCAGTTATAGGGTTAAGCCTCAGACTGACCTGCTGGCAAAGTCACAAGTTCCAGCTTGGAGGGCACAGTTCTCTAAGCATAAAGCTTGATCTTGTGACTGTTCCCTAGATCTTTCCTGGGTAACTAATGGGCTGTGGGAGGGGCAGCAAGTGCTACCAAAGCAAGTGAAACTTACAACAACATTGTAGATTACCTTGTTTGTCCCTAACTATAAATAAAACATCAGCTTTGTAGTCTGGATCTGTTCTGTGGCCTCAGCAAGGCACAGGAGAGCCACCTAGACCCAGCTCATTCTCTTTGTCTGTCTTCTTCATCCTTCACCCACCCTCCCTCTGTGCTGGCACGGCACCCATATTTTTTACCATTGTGTAAATAAAGGACAGGAATATACTTACTGTAAATACCCATATGTATACAGTCAGTCTGAAAGGAAACACAACTGGCACAAAGAGAGGGGGGTGATTGGAGGAAAGAGCCATGTTTTACTGAATTATTCATGTGTGGTTTGAAATTTTTTTGGAGTGTTCACAAATTACCTTCTGGAAAACACAGTTAAGGAACTAGACAAATAACTTTTTGTTCAATCAGCTAATACTTAGTGAGTACGTCTTTTGTTTCCTGCATACCTTGGAATTGCAACTACAGGCAGATCCTGTGGTAAAGAAGCACACATTTTGGAGGAGGGACTAGAAGACAGTGTTAGTGTTAGGATAGGTTACCCAAAACGAGAAGATGATGTCTGAACCAGGCATATGAATTATGACTAAGAATTTGTCAAAAGGATAAAACTTTAGGGAAAGGAACTGAAGTCTTAGGCCCAAGAAACAAAATGTGCAAAGTTCATGGATCTGCTCTGGGAATTTAACGTTGTGTAACGGGGAGAAGTGACTGGAATTTAGTGGCCTGGTTCCTGTTGCCTAATAGTCTCTCTCTTTTGGGATCTCTCACCATGTAATTCTATTAACACCTTCATGCTGGGCTGGCTGTGCTTGGCTGCTACTCAATTTGAGTGGCCTTGCATAGTGTCAACTCACAAGACATTTTCTGGAGTGTTTGGAGGGGATTTTACTAAAGGTGCAGCATACAAGAATTTGACATGAAATGTTATCTGGGCCCTGGCCAATTTATCTCAGTGGTTACAGCAACAGCCCTCAGACTAAATGGTCTTGGGTTCGATTCCCAGTCAAGGACACGTACCTCGATCCCAGTCCTGTTCAGGCCCTGTGAGGTAGGCAACCAGTTGATGTGTCTCACATTGATGTGTTGTTGTTGTTTTTTCTCTCTCTCTCCATCCCTCTTCTCCCCCCCCTTTCACTCTCTAAAGATCTGTGATAGAAAAACCCTATATAATAAAAGCCTAACAGGCAAATTGACTGAACAGAATGACTGACTGGTCACTAGGATGTGCACTGACCACCTAGAGACTCTATCTGTGCATTTTGTGCACTGGGCATCTAGTAAAAAATAAAAATAAAAAGGTCAGTGGGAAAAATGTCCTCAGATCTAGCCTCACATGAGGATTTAAAAAAAAGTTACTTGAAATTGCACAATCTGGTTCGCTCATCCTTCCCCTGAGGGAAGGGAGGTCCCTGCTGAAGGCCTCCAGGCTGCAGAGCCCATTTGTCCCTCCCATCTGAGTGCTTCCCTCAGGTTTTTCGGGTGATACTAGTAGATATCAAGAATGTCCCCTCCTTCCAGGAGAAACCCAATTTCCTACTATTCTGAAAGCTTATTGCCTTTACTTATAGCCGCAACAGGACAACTCTATCAGGGTATTACACAAAAACCTAGCATCCTTACAACTCAGGAGGTGAAGTCACTGGTGCCAGGTCTTGCAGCGTCTGCTGGCCATGTCAGTATGCATATAGAACTTCACCCATGCCAAAACCGGTTTGGCTCAGTGGATAGAGCATCAGCCTGCGGACTGAAAGGTCCCAGGTTTGGTTCTGGTCAAGGGCATATAACTTGGTTGTGGGCACATCCCCAGTTGGGGGTGTGCAGGAGGCAGCTGATCAATGTTTCTCTCTCATCGATGTTTCTAGCTCTCTATCCCTCTCCTTTCCTCTCCGTAAAAAAAAAAAAAAAAAAAAAAAAAAAAAAAAAAAATCAATAAAGTATATAAAAAAAGAAGAAGAAGAAGAATTTCACCCAATGGACACAAGGGAAACTGAAGAGAAAGGTCAGAATTGGGTGTATGAGAGGTCATAGAAAGGGGCATAATGCTATAGAGACAATGGTGTGTAAAGAACAGGGTATCACATGATCTCACTTGTGGAATCTAATCAACAAAATGAATTGACTAACAAAATAAGTCCCGAAACATGGAGCCATGGAACAGACCGACATACCTTGATGTGGGGTTGGGGGGAATGAGAAGAGATAAACCAAAAAACTTATATACTTAGATGCATAGCCATGGACACAGGCAATTAGGGAAGTGAAGACCTGGGGGTGGACAGGTAAAGGCTGGGAGGAGAGATGGGGGGGAGGGAAGAAAAGAGGGGAAATGGGAGAAACCTGTAATTCTACCAACAATAAAAAATATGGTAAAACAAAGAAAATTAAAAAAAGAGAAAAGAATGGGATAGTGAGCACATATACAATATACAGATGGTGCATTGTGGAATTGTATACCTGAAGCCTATATAACTTTATTAACCACTGTCACCCAATAAATTTAAGTAAAGAAGTAAAGAACTTAGGAAACCTTACTTTTGATCTTGGTTCTACCACTAACATTGGATGATTATGACAAATGATTTGGCCTCTAAGTGGACTCTTCTATAAAGTGAAGGAGTTAAGGGTTACCTAAGAGGGTTGTTCCAAGTCTGAAGTCCTTTAATTTGGTGTCTATCCAACCTCCAGCTCTAAAACAGATGTACAATAGGTCATAATTGTCTAATTTAAATGTCAAGGCCACAGGCGTCCAATTATATTATTTTTGCACAGAACTGAGATGCATTATGTACTTGTGCACAGGAATTGTAATGATCAGTTGCTGCAGAGCAGTGTAATCTCAAAAGAGCAAGAACTTGGGCTGGCTTTAGCTCAGCGGTTCCTTCGGCTACAAAACTTCAAAAGAGCAAGAACTTGATTTTTAAGTCCTTCCCTGTGCCTCAGTTTCCTTATCTGGAAAATGTAGATAATAACTGCCTCACAAAATCAATTTAAGATCAAATGAGAGAATGTATATGAAGATATTTTGTAAATTATGAAAAACATATGTTTAATACATAAAACTCTTAGTGCTGCAAATTTTTAAAAAATGTACAGTACCTTGAGGGAGTGAAGACCTAATCATAATATAAATTCATGTTTTAAATCAGCTCCATTCCTATCTCTATAGGATATCTATCTTTTTCCTACATGCACTCCATAATATTTTCTCTAAGCCTATAAGCTGTCTTTTTGAAACAATACAGGGAAATCACAGAAATTTCATTTAAAACATTTATCCCAAATATTCAGAAACAACTTTCAAGAAAAATTCCTCAGGCAAAATGACAGAAATAAACCTCTCTTCCTTTACATGGTAGGGCAATTCCTGGGATTTTTCCATTCAGTTTGATTTTTAGCGATTTCACCCCCTTGGGTATGAATTCCAATAACCTCATCTCTCAGTCTTACATCATATATGGTGTGAAGGTCATAACTGAAATATAAAAATGGTAAGACTACATTCTCCAAGGTCTCCTTATTCAAGTTCTCCATGACTTGTTTTTAAAGGGTATGTTTTTTTTTAATTGATATCAGAGAGGAAGGAAGAGGGATGGAAACATCAACGATGAGAGAGAATCATTGATAGGCTGCCTCCTGCCCGGCCCACACGGGGGTTCGAGCCTGCAATCAGAACTGATGGCCTGACCACGAATTGATCCGTGACCTCTGGGTTCCTAGATCGACCTTCAACCACTGAGCCATGCCAGCCGGGCTCCATGATATTTTAAAGTACAGTAGGATATTGGAATTTTGCATTTACTGCTCAGCCAAACTTATCTTGTGTTTACATTTTCTCTGGGTTTATTT